GCCGGTCAGTTCGCGGTCATCAACTTCAGAAGAAGTTCTTCACGCTCGTGGCCTGCTCTTACCCCTTTCACCGCAGTCAACTTGTGTTGCTTCTAAGGAGATAATGTGAAATACAAACTACAGAAAGGATTCTGTGTAGTACGATTTCAAATTAACATAGGAATTTCCGGATCTCTTTAATTTAAGTGTCGTATGCCATCTGGGTTTTCTCATATTTGGTTCAGTCATCATATAACCTAATTTGTGCCTACTTTTTCCGATCATTCAATTAATGTCGTTTAGGTAGCCACTGTTCCACCTGTTCCAGTTATTGACGAAGATGAAGCTCGCTCAACTCCAACTGCTAGTACAACCCAAACTGTGGGAACAACAAAATCCAAAGTATGTTCACGAGTTAAACAAAATATTAACCGTTTTTCAGGAATTATCTATCAACATGGCTGATGCTGTTAACTCATTGTATTACATCTATGATATCTGTTCATCAGATTATTCTAAATCACCTTTCAAACCTGTGGCTGCTAAGATTTGTGAGATGCAAGACGAAATTGCCAAACATTCGGACTGCTTCCAAGCCACTCTAGAGAAAGAGAAATGTAATATCAGAGTAAGTTATCTAGAGGGAAACTGTAAGTAAAGCTTGTTTTTCAGGAAGTGAAAAGCGAATGCGAAGCTTTGGAAGCTTTCAACTCCAACCTCGATTGTGCAATTGTCACCATGAACGATGCTTGTGAAGTTAATAGTCAGAACATGGTTATTGACTTGCAAGAAAAAATCAATGACGTTATTATCGAACACAAATGTTTCAATGAGCAAGAGAAATCAGAGAAATCTTCAGAAACCACTGTTGACGATGGAGAGTTCCATCTGAAGTCTAGTCTTCCTCGTTGCGCTGATGAACAAGTAAGTTTTTTTCAAAAATGAACTCCGACTATATAAGTTTTCAGGAGAATTCTGCTTTAGCTTGCTTGGTCGAACTCATTGAGATCAATAAGCAATTGTCTCAATTCCAAAATTTGAACTTCTTACTCGAAGTTGCCACCCCTAACTCTACTGTCGTCGCCAACATCTGCGAACAATACACTCGTTACGAAACTTGCCTTCAAGCCAACGTTTTCAAAAACTCAAAGAGGTGCTCATTCTCATCTCCTCTCAATACTTTAGCCAGGTACAAAAAATCGATTCTTTTCGGAATATATCAACTTATTTGGTTACAGAATTGGTTTGTCACCTATCTGTGCCCTTGACTCCCGACCACTTCTTGCCAAGCACAGAAGTTGCCTCCAGGAACTATCCGCTAAGAGCAACCAGAACACTAACTGTCAAAGTGGACTCTCCAACCTTGGCAATAGTGTGAACATGATGCTCCAGGTTTGAAAGATGAATTAAACGTTTTCTTACCACATTTGTTCTTAGGGAATTCATGGAGAAGCTCTCTTATGTAAATCATTCTACCTTATTCGCGATACATTCAGTTGCGGTGAGATGGCCGTCGAAAAAACTTGTGATGCCCAAGCCCTCATGGATTTGAGAAAATTGAAGACTGATGTTTGTGTTTTTTCTATTATATTAAACAAGTTCCGTTTGTAGATGACAACACTTGGAGAAGAGGAGGGATGTCCAACAGAGATTCCAGCCAACCTTGACGAAATCATCGCTCGCCCAGTCAAGAGACCTGATCCAATTGTGCCAATGTTGGTGTATCTAATAGAAATCTGTTTTAATGTTCATATTCCAGTGTTCCAAAAGCTCGCCCATTGGCTTCTTCAACAAATCCTCCAATGCCACCTCCACCTCCTCGTGCTGCACCAGCTCCAGCTTGCAGTCCAGATCAACAGAAGAAGTATGATTCCTGTAATTGTATGCGTAACTTATCCAATAACACTACAGGTTCGAAAGCTGTGTTAAGCCTTTGACTGCTTTCCAACCACATCCTTTATCTGTTATCAAGATGCCAAGACAGATTGATGAGGCTTGCGCTGCATTTGCTGAATTCAAGGTAGTAATCTGTTTTTAAAGCTTTTAGAGGTTTCATACTTCAGGAGTGCTCATCTGAAGTTCCTTGCCATCCATTATGGGCTAAGGGAATGACCGCCATGTTTGAATACGCTTGTGGTGAAGGAGCAGAAGAATACAAAGAGGTTTATCTCCACCGTTTCTCTGCTGTTATAAACAATGACTCTTAAGATTCGTCAATGCTTAAGAAAAACTTCTCAAGGACCTATCGTTTCTACCTGTGTTGGTAACTTCTCTCGTGGAGCACCAACTCAAGCTTGCCTTTCTGCTAACAAATTGCTCAGTTGTTCGATCTCTACTATTCAAGTACTCACTATATTTGAAACAATTTTTATATCATCTTATTAAGACTGAGTGTGGAGAGAGTGCTTCTAAATGGATCACAAGCTATGTTACCAAGTTCGCAACAGCAATTGATAACCGCTGTAAACTTGCCAGTCAATTACCTGGTTAGGAATTCATGAGAAAACTTTTTAAAAGATGATTTTACAGTTGGTAAGATTGTTGGAGTTGGATGTAGTGCAGAAGAGGAAGCTATAATTGAACACTGTGGAGCTCCACTCAACGATATTGGTACGAAGTTGTAAAGGAATTTCCGTTTTCAACCATTTTCTCTAGGATCACGAATGGAGGAACTATTCCAAGGTGGATTACAATCCATGATCAAGAACATCAATGGATTGGCTCCTGTGTTTGCTGGAGGATGTAACCTTACAGGTTTAAACTACTTCTATCAATCTGGAAAATTAAATTGAATTCTTCAGATGAGTTCAGAACATGTGCTTCTTTCCTTCTCGCTGGAAGATCTCCTTGCGTCGTATCCAGTTGTATGATCCAAGCTGGAAATGGTATCTGCGATCAACCTGATCCAGCCAAGGCTATTGATGAGAACTTAAGTTGTGTATTCGGTCAGGTATGTTAACTTTTTTTCAATTCTGAGTAGAAAAGAATTTATTTTCAGATTCAAGAACCAACTTTTGCTAAATGTATCCGTACAACCATCTCAACTGTTAAACAGTTCACTTTAACTTCGTTCAGAAACGTACTTCCCAAGTTTGTTGACTGTACTGAAGAGATAGTCAAAGAGAAATGTGGAGAGACTCCAATTAATGTAAGAATAAACAAAACAATAAAATAATCAAAAATTCTTCAGGTATTGAGAGCTATGTCTTCCCCAGATCTCTGCCCAATCGCTGCTTCACCAATCGTCCCATTGTCAGTTTCACGCCCAACACCAATTAAGGTCGAACCTAAGGTAAGTGAACCTAAGGAGACAGTTTATGTAACTTTTCTATTTCAGTTACCTGTTTGTACCGAAGAAAAGAGAGCTTCTTATGAAGAATGTACTAGACCATTCTATTCCAAATATAGAATGCTTCCTACAGTTTTGATCAACGAAGTTGATAACATGGATCAAGTTAGTATATTTCCCAGAATACATATTTCATCTCATCTATTTAAAGATCTGTGAAGAAGTATTGAAAATGGATGGATGCTCCGTTTCTACCCGCGTTTGTGCATCACCAGAACAGCTTGCTCTGAAGAAGATGATGCAGAAAGTATGCAGCACTAAATCAGCTTTCGACCAATACAAGGTCTGCTTGAAGGCAGTTGCCACCAGCCCATTGGTAAGCTTTTTCTAACAGTTACATCTTTAACGAAATCTTATAGGGAGCTTCTTGCATGTCTGAGTACATCTCCTCTCCTCCAGCTACCCGTTGTGATTCACTCACCAATGCTGCCAAGTGTATGGCTAAGGATGTAAGTTCCTACCAAATGTATCCACAAGTTATATAAAATATCTTAGGTCATGTCTAAATGCGGAGAGGCTGCCCTTGAATATTCTTACAACGCTATGGCTGATTTCGCTAAATCCAGCGATGGTACATGCATGGTAAGAAAACGAGAAAATTTTCTTTTTCAACCATACGACTTCAGATTTCTACTCCAACAGTTGACCTTCTCACTGGTTGCTCTGAAGATGATGTTGTTGAGTTCTTGGACTGTGAAGCTTCTCTTGATATTTACAGCTTCAGACCAATCTCCATCATTGCGTAAGTACATCATCTTTAAACTAGATTCTATTGTTTCTGTTACAGTGATGGTAACCAACTCGAATCCTTCTGCCAAGCTTTCAACACCAAATACAGACCATGTATTGACAAGATGAAATGCAAGTTTGAACCCGTAAGCTCAACGAATGTCATGCTAATGGATAGTATTTGCAATAAGTGAGTTGAACTATATAAATTCTATGTTAATCCTATATTTTTTCAGGCCAGTAACAAAGAAAGATCAAACTCAATACGGAAAGTGTTTGTCCGATTACACAAACTCGGTTACTGGTAGAAAATGTATCGAAAAGATCGGAGCTGTTGACCCATTATCAAAGGAAGCTACAGTAGATATGTGTCCAGTGTATGTTCTGATTCTTTTTGAACTTTTGGAAATATTTTTGTTCTAGTTTGAACGACATTTTGAACTGCGCTTCTGAGGAATTAGAAGAGAAGTGTGGTTATGATGCCTTACTCCACGTCTACGGATTACATATTCAATGGGCTCAATCTTACAACTCAACATGTGTTATCACATCTCCTCAATCAAAGGTTTGTAATTTTCTGGCGCAAAAAGTGCATATATGTGTAATTGCAGGATGATCCTTCAAACATTTTGGAAGAGTCGAGAGATGCTACTCCTCAAGTTGTTATTAAGGACGATACCACCCCAGCTTCCACCAGCATGGATACAGAACGTCCAACAACAACACATCCAAAGGATATCACAACAACCTTAACATCTACTACAACAACAACTACAACTGAGCCAATCAAGGAAAGTTCTTGCATATCAGTTGTTAATGTACTTCTCGTTGCCGTATTCACAAGATATATCTTGTGAAAAACTCTATTAACTTGAACAAGTTTCTGTGCCTTTTTTCTGTCAACTAGACTTACATTCCACTGACACCATGATCTGATTTTTATATTCTTTAATTTATTTTCTGAAATATTGATAATAATGCACGAATTTTCCTCAGAGTTTACCAAGATGTTTTATTTCTTCTCTTGTATTATACTCTTCTTCTCTCAAATCCTCTATAGACCTTCATGGTTTCAAATTATAACTTCCATTGCTGATGTGCGGGGCTGTTACATTCTATGATTCAACATGGAATAAATATTTTCATATCTCCAAAAGTAACTGAAGAAAGTAATGTTTGTTGATGCATTAGTCACAAATATAAGCTGATATCTTGAAGAAAAAGAGATTTAGTCATTCATCAGGAATGTATGGATTATATAATTCATGAAATCCGAAACCTCTCTTGCAGTTTTGAATTTCATTTCCAGTGTACAACAGACAAAAATTGCTCCGAAATGAATCACCATAATCGTCTATCAAAGATATCTTGCTTCTAGTTGTCCAAGATGAAACCCACGGACAACAACGTTTAAAATGATTTCATAGAACAACTGCTAACTCGGGGATCACGTGAGGAATGAACTGAGAGCACGACCGAAAAATCATTTTTTTCATCTCAGGAATGAAAATGCTGCATTTTAATTTGTGTCCAACATATCTAGTGAGTGTTTGAGCTCCTCTTAACTATATGCTCACTATAAATCATTGTTACTGGCTTTCATTACAATTGCCTGAGCACACCTCTTTGACTCCGAGCTATCATCTATAGTTTAATTGTTTCAATTCGTATGATATTATCCGTCTCAGTGAGAGCATGTCTGACGCATTAATTTCATACTGGCTATCATCATGAAATTCTTGTGGAATTGTCATTATATTCAATTACAACATAAGCTATCACTATTTGTCGTCACCAGTGAGGTTTAGTTGTTTCAAAAAGTTCTTTGATTTTAGAACTCAAAAGAATGAAGATAACAAGTTTCACGCCCAAAAAGAACGATCATAAAAATAAAAACAGTTGCTACTCAACTCATTCATTCGGCATCAAATGAACTTTCAGTCTTTGCTATTCTTCTCAATTAGCACATTGCATTCAAAATGAGTTTTGTTTTTAAACAGCCTTTATGTTTTTGTGATTCCAACTATTTCAAACAGCTATAGTGGGACATAGCATGTTGCGAACCTAATACCTAATTGGCTCCATCAAAAGTTTAATTTGAAAGTTTTGTGAGTTCTTCCGTATGAAAGAATCAAATCGATTCTTCAAAGTAGATGTTTCATGAGAAATTCCATAAACTTAGCTTATTTTGTAAGCTTCATGTGGCGCAATGGCGTTGCACGTTGTTTACGCGGAATTTGAGTAGCATTTGCAATGTTAAGCAGAGTAACGATTTAGTGATTTATCCGTTAAGTTTAGAACTTGTTGCTAGGTTTACCTTTCTTCCTTGTTTCTTCTTCAAAATGATCATATTTTATAAGCTAGTTTTGAATGTAATACTTCAGTTTCAACATGAATCGTTTGGCTTGGTATACCCCGGCCGAAAGCATGGAGGACATCCTTTGTCAAGCAGGTCATGTTGGAATATACGATGGCGACACGAAACAAGTTTGTCTTAAGAAACTCGCTAGAAATTATATACTTTTTAAAATAGACTGAGTTCGAACAAGGTACTGCATCAATTACTTTGCACAGAATTATTTGGGCAGACTCTAGCGATCCCGTAAGTTACCTCTTTCACTTCAACTTAAACTCGTGTGCTCTTGCAGGATAGACGATTGATTTTACACCATTCACTTGTAAAGTCTTTTGAAAAGCATCACAAATCTATGTTTAGTAGAAGTATGTTTTATCTTAGTTTGTGTGTTATATAATTTCTATCTGATTAGGTTTGAAAGTAATAATTCGTTTGGAGCCTTGCCCTCAAGGTCTTGTCGGTCCAATTAACTCTAGTCAATTCGATTATATAAGATTAGTTTTCAAAGGTGGAGGAGAAGAAGAAGTAAGTAGTCATTTTTAAATTCATTGATCTCTGTTTGTTTCAAGTTCTGCAGAAGGTATGATGAGGCTCTGAAGAGAAAGACATGGCAGAGGCACAGCTCCGGCTCAAGTTCAAGCGGGGTTTGAATTCTTTTCATATTTTTTTCGTTCATAATCATTTTTCAGTCTCGTAACAGTCATGGCCAGCTACGATCATTAGGTGTTTCTGGCATTGAAAGAAAGTTAGCTGAAAACCATCAACGAACACATGAGTCCATTAGCTTGGTAGTCATATGTCTGAAGAGTTTTTGTTGAATTTGAAGTTATAGGCTTTCGAAGATATGTCAAAGCTGATGGAATCCGCCAAAGAAATGGTGGGGTTGTCGAAAGGAATCGCAGAGAAGTTGAGATCACGCAAAGGCGAAATCAGCGAGGATGAAGTATGAACATGGAAAGAAAGATATCCCTAATTCGAATGTCTCCAGACTGTTGCTTTCAAATCTTATCTGCTCTCCCTTGGAGTGTCCGATCCAGTCACCAAGTCTACGTATGGAACAGGCTCAAAGTATTTCGAGAAATTAGCGGAAGAATTGATAGAAATTCTTGAAGAACCTTTGAAGGTATCCTATGAAATATATTAATCATTGTATTTGTTTTCTCGTCTAGAACTCCGGTGGTATGATGACCTTGCCAGAGGTGTACTGTCGAGTTAACCGTGCTCGTGGAATGGAGCTCTTATCTCCAGAAGATGTTCTGAGTGCTTGCAAAGCCTTGGAGAACATTAAATCCAAATTGGAGTGAGTTATCTTTTGATTTATGTTTTCATCATTTAGTTTCTAGACTTCACCGCTTCCCAAGTGGGGTACTAGTTGTGCAGCTAAGTTCCTCCTCTGTTGATAGCACCGTGGACGCAACTTCTAAGTTTGTCCGTGCGAACGGCAGCTGTACAGCAAATCAACTAGCACAGCTAGAAGGAATAACTGTCGTCTTGGCTAGAGAGAGGTAAGAACAGTTGGAGTACTCATCATGTTTCTTTGATTTCAGGCTACTTGCTGCTGAAGAGCGCGCAATGGTTTGTCGAGACGATTCGATCGAAGGTCTTCTCTTTTACCCGAATAAGTTCTTAGACGTTGAAGCATAATTAGTATTATCTAGTCATTGATTGTTTTATGGAATGTTTTAGGTTAATGTTGCCATAGGCTTGCCCAGTATTTCTAAATGTTGTAGATGAAAGATCTCGTTTATCTATTCATAGATGGTTATGTAGATACTATCAAATCAAATTCTTATACACACATTCATATACTTATAAGAAAATTTTTTTTTAAACTTTGTTTCATCTGATTTGGTTATGAGACCATAATATTTGATATTTCATCATCAAGCAATTTAAGTTATATCATTTTCCACAATAGGATGGAGCAGGGTGACGAATTACCTCCCGGAATATCTGCGGAAGATTCAATTGAGTACTATGAAAACAAACCCTCTATCAGTCAAATGGAAAGTCATGATGAAGAAGAAACAGAAGAGAGAACTGAAGATGAAGATTTGTATGATGATGGTAGAGCCTATATAGCGTTATCTCTGGGAGCTCACTTCTTTTTCAGTTAATCCTCTTGCCGGATCTGACGACGATGACGATGATGACGTTCAAGTTACAATCGGAAAGATAGAACCCCCTGTGAATGTACAATTTAATGTAATTCCTTGACGCTCTAACTGCATTCACTTCGAATGAATTCAGAAAAGCGCTGCCGGCGATCGACAAGTTCCAGCCGGAAAGTTGGATATTGATACGATTCCAATGCTCAATGACAAGCCTATTTATGATGTTGATTTAGCTACTGTTAGTTCAAACCTTCCACTTCTCGGAATATAACCACGCTTTCAGATGGATGATAGACCGTGGCGGAAGCCCGGAGCTGATATAACAGATTATTTCAATTATGGGTTTACTGAAGGTTTGTTTTGTCATTCAAGTCTCAGTTCCAACCTCGAACGTTTTCAGATTCTTGGAATACTTATTGTGAACGACAAAAGAAATTAAGGCTTGAGTTCACCTCACAGGCTGCTGTGAACAAAGCCATTTTCTCTAATATTCATATTGCTAATCCTTTGGCGATGCCCTCAAGTTGGTGTCTCCTTCACAATCGTTTACACTAACTCTCATTACAGGTGTGGGAGGTCGACAACTCGTTTCTCTCACTGATAATAATACTACTAGTAATGTGAAAGTTCTTACTGACAATGGCGGAAGATTCAAGCCCCATTTCCATAAGCCCGAAGGCAATGATGTTCGTTCCAATTTTCAATTCTTTTCCTCAACGTGTTTGTATTCAGCCTATCGTGCGTACTGTTATCGGTGGCGCTGCCATTCCTGCTCAAACAAATTCTTCTAATTCCACACCCGCAACTCCAAACGCCGTAAAGCTTATAAACGTAAACGTTTTCTCAATTACTTTTCAGGGCACCTCGCAGGCACCGATTATGGACTTCAGTAAGCCTCCGCCAGGCATGACTCTTCCTCCCACCGTTATATCATCGATCTCACAATCTGCAGCTCCTGGAATTGATGCTCCACCTGGTGTTGAAACTACTGCAGTAGCTGCTGCAGTGGATGGACCACCGGGAGTAGATATTGCTCCTCCTGGTGAAACTATTCAACCTATTGGCTCAAGCAGCATGGATATGTCTGTGCCTCCTCCAGGGTTTTTAAAAATTTCTCCGTTCTTCTCTTATGAACTAATTGTACAGTTTCAATCCTGCTATGCCACCACCAGGACTCAGGCCCATGGGCATGCCACCCACCAATATGCCACCTCCTGTTTTCAATTCTATGATGCCTCCACCAGGGTTCTCAATGACACCACGTTTCCAACGTAAACATATAAACTTCAACGATGTCAATGATTCTCTTTTTAGAAGTCCCAGGTATGGGAAGACCTCCTAACATGATGCATCGGGGCGATTATGGACAAAACGCACGACGAGAGTCCAGCGATTTTGATGATAGAGAGAGGTATCAATAGGAGTACTTATTGTTTATATTTATTCATCTTTGCAGCGAAGACGAAAGAAGAAGATATAGGAGGAGGAGTCGTTCAAGATCTCCAGTTAAACGTGATAGAAAGTACAATTACAATTTACTTACTTTATTAGTTTCGTTCTGTTATAGAAGAGATGATCGCGAAGATCGTAGAGACAGGGATAGGGACAGAGACCGAGAGCGTGAACGAGAACGTGATCGTGATCGTGGTAAAGAACGAGATAGAGCTGAGCGTTCACGTCGTCATAGAAGTAGAAGTGCTTCTCCTGAATGTGCGTAACATTCTTCCTTTTCTATTAGTATCATTTTGTTATAGCCCGAGGAAAAAAACGATCTGATGACAGAGATAAGAAGAGAGACCGTAGAGAAGAAGATGGTGACAGGAAGAAGAGGTAAAGCAATGGATAAATATGTCTGAATATAAGAAGTTTTAGTCGTCGTCACGAGGACGATCCAAAGGAAAAGGAGAGATCATCGAGACATCGGCGATCTGATAAATCCAAAGATGATGGAGATAGTAAAGAAGATAGAGAACCTGCTCCCCCCGGCACAGAGGAAGCTGGGAATGCTTGAGTAATTGAATCTTTCTAGTTTATAATGTTATAGTTGAAATATTGATTTCGGCACTGGTTACTTATGGGTCCCGGTCCAAAGCTCCCCTTTTTGCGCACGCGTTCCTTGCTCTAATCAGAAAATAAATTTTGTCGAAAACTTTGGCTAGTAAAAGATCTATTTCTAAGACGAAAGTCCGGGGGCAGACCCCTCAACTTTGGAAAGTTTTTTTTCTAATCTAAAGGTTCCGTATTTATACAAAAAAATAACTTTTGTTGGTAGTTTCTGCGATTAAACAACCTATCTTACAACGTTTGATGTTCAGGGGTATATTACCTCTGAGATCAACACTTTCATTCCCTAACATCGAAGTTCTATGATAAACTTTTGAAACATTGAAAGAATCAAAATGACGTAGAGGGAGGAGGGAAACAGTTCTTGGAACTTGCTTTCTTCATCGTAATACATCATAGATTTCGATATTCATAACGAAAATACCAATCTATTGGAATCCGGGACTTATAAGTAAACTGTCACTTGATTTCTGCTGATGACGGGATTCACATATCTTATTCCTTTCAGATCTTCTGAAAATTTTTCGTATTCATGTTATCATTTAATGAACTTGTTCTAGTTTGTATTTCCTATTATGGAAGGCTTGCCTTGTCACAAATTCCGAAATTGTTTTCTGATTGAATCATTCTCATTTCATAATATTTTAAAGTTTTATTTAAAAGAACTTGCAGTCAAATATACAGATAATCACAAATCACCAACGCTAGTAAAGAAAATGTGAAGTTGTCTACTCTTTCTTGACAACGTAGCAGACAAATGCTTCAGCTTCAACAAGGCAGTGTTCGCGTTGTTCGTCCTCGAGTGGCTCGATTCCATCACCGCCACAAGCAACGTACCATTCTCCAGAGTGGCGTTGTTTCACTGCTTCAGAGACTTGTTTCATTGAAACTTCAGCATCGACACCCAAGGCCTGGAAAGTTTAAGTTAGAAGTTATGATATATTTCAAATTTATCACCTTGCGGATGGTGTTACGGAGTTTCAAAGAATTGCAAGTGCTTTTCTCAAGAGCGGCTTTGTCGGTCTTGGAGAAACGACGGAGACGGAATCCTTGTCCTCCTTCGTATTCTTCTCCTCCTCCTCCAGCGGCAGCCTTAGCTTCATCGTAGTTTCCTCCTCCTGATGGAGCGGCTCCTCCTTGTTCTTGATAACCTCCAGCTGGTGCTGGAGCTGGGGCAGGTGGTGGTGGTGGGGCAGCGTTCTATAAATTCATATCAATAAAGGATAATTTGAAAATTTCTTACGTCGGAATAGGCTCCTCCTCCTCCTGATGGTGCTGGTGGTGGTGGTGGTGGAGGTGGTGGTGGTGGAGCTCCTCCTTGGGAGTATCCTCCTCCTCCAGATCCTCCTTGGGAGTATCCTCCTCCTCCGGCTCCGCCTTGAGAGTATCCTCCTCCGGCACCGCCTTGAGAGTATCCTCCTCCTCCTCCTTGGGCGTATCCACCTCCTCCAGATCCTCCTTGGGCGTATCCACCTCCTCCGGATCCTCCTTGAGCATATCCTCCTCCTCCGGATCCTCCTTGAGCGTATCCGCCTCCTCCGCCTCCAGATTGAGCGTATCCTCCTCCGCCGCCACCAGATTGAGCGTATCCTCCGGCTCCTCCAGATTGAGCGTATCCTCCGCCACCACCAGATTGAGCGTATCCTCCGCCGCCTCCTGGTTGAGCGTATCCTCCGGCGCCTCCGGCTTGTGCGTATCCTCCTCCTCCGGATGCTAAAAAAAAAGTTCACTATAAATCGTTTCAAATTGTTCACTCACGTTGAGCGTAGCTAGATGGTGGTGGGGCAGCATAGCTTGGTGGGGGTGGTGGAGCAGCATATCCTCCTCCTCCTCCTCCTCCACATCCTCCTCCAGATGGAGCAGTAGCATATCCACCGCCGCCGCTTCCTCCTCCACATCCACCTCCTGATGATGGAGCAGTAGCGTATCCTCCTCCGCCAGATGGAGCTTGAGCGTAAGAGTCTCCTCCTCCGCCGCCGCCGCCGCATCCTCCGCTAGATCCTCCTCCGCATCCACCGCTAGATCCTCCGCCGCAGCCTCCTCCGCCGCCGCCGCCGCATCCTCCGCTGGAGCCTCCTCCGCAGCCTCCGCTTGATCCACCTCCGCATCCACCGCTAGATCCTCCGCCGCAGCCTCCTCCGCCGCC